GTTCCTTTTATTAGTTTAATACATCCTTCACTTTCCCAAAGAATTTTCAGTGTTGTTTTCCCTAAACTTATGTCCACATTTAATCACTGAAAATGCACCTCAACCACACAGCAGATGTGTCATTAACTATTGCTGAAAAAAAGTGAAATAAAATCACCCAGCATGAGAATACTATGGAATAAGCACTAGCAGATGGTGTTTATTTTGTCACTGCTTGTGTTAAAAATTACCACCTATTTCATCAGCTTCTTTAAGGTAGAAGCTTCATGTAAAAAGCTATTTTTTATAAGCTGTCAGAGAACTCCTTAGAATATAAGTTCTTGTTTTCATGGCTTCCAGTTTTCTAGGACATGGCGCGTTACACAGGAGATCAGTTTGTATAAATCTGACATGATCGAGTATTTTGCTCGCAGCTTCGTCTTTCAACACGCAATCTGGTTTGTTTCTCGAGCAAATTTGCAAATCCTTTAGTTCAAATACCGGTGTTTTCAAGACAAATCCTGTAACAAGTGTTAAGTCTGCTCCGAGGAGGGGCACCTGGTAGAACTGTCAGCTTGTTTTCTTCTAGAACCGAAGATGCAAGAGAGTTTTCCTTCCCCCTCAGAGTTTCCTACATTCTCGTTTGATTTTATCGCACACTTTTGGCTTTGCGGTTTACATTCTCTGGTTGATTGTTTCTTATCAAAACAGTATGTTGCATGAAGAGCAATGGTACAACCTGGACTTGGTTACTTAAAGAAATCACTGCTAAAGTTCTGTGACAAAACCAGGTTTTGTTCATGTATTTTTGGAAGGATTTCCATTAAAATGGAAACCCAAAGCCTTCCCAGAAATGTAAACCCACATAATCCTCAGTAAGGCAAACCATGCTGAAAGCCACAAGGTGATCTAAATGCCTCACTACTGTGATTTAAACAGAATTATTACAAACAGTATCCACAGTATCCATACACAATATTGAAATAAAATTTTCAAAGAACTTATTTCTATCTGAAGGCCCCTGGACATCAGTCTCCCATTCTCACTGATGATTCTGATGTCGTGATACCAAATTAAATTAGTATTTCACTGAATATAGAGACTTAGGGCTACAAGGATTCTTAAACTAGATTTTTACTGTGCATAAAGGCTATAGAGATAGAGACTGTGTATAGAGGATATAAAGATAAGGAAGGCAAGCAACAAGAGAACCAGATGTCTTATCTCAAACCAATGTGGGCCTTCCTCTTTCTGATAGGCCAGAGAAAGAAAATAACCTGGGGAGCCCTTTAGGATCAAAAATTAGCCTGAACAAGAACAAGTAGTTAACTGGAAAGACTAAGCAAGCATTCCAATGTCCTTAACTAATGGATTTCCATAACAGGGTAAACTGAGAAGGGGTATTTCTCCCCAGACAACCACTAGGACCCCCAGGCACCACTCCTTAAAATTCACAGTGCCCGCACAGTGGCCTTATCTGCCCAAATTCCCATATGCCTGAGAAACAAGAATTGGGTGGGCATTTCATGGAATTATAATGAGTATGTATATAATGAAGATACATAAGTTGTGAACTGTCTCTTCTCAGTGTGCATGACAGGCACAGAAATCCTCCATGCACCGGTACCATAATAAAGTCATATTGGTTTCTATCCTCTCATTCTGGTTAGAGAGTTTATTTCCTGGATTTCGGTGACAATAACATGGAGAAATCATCCTCCTAAATCAAGTCTCCATACACACAACCAGCTGCATTTTGTATCTAAACATCATAAGCACAGGATAAAATTCAACCTGTTTTCTTCCCCTGGAACAGGCATAATCCCCATCTTCATTAAATTACAGTTCAATTGATAATGTCCCCAAATTACTTAAAGAATTTCCTTGCCCATCACAGATTACCACAGGTCTTTGAGATGTATGCTTTCTGCAACAACATATCAAATACATAGCTTAGTAACTATAGTCATTCAAACCTCCTTTGGCATTGGCAGGCTTATACATGAATTCAGAGACTATGGACTCCACACCAATGTCCAGATTTGTATGTTTACAATTTACTCATCATGTTGAAACAAACAGCAAAGATGCTTAAACCACATGATAATGGTTGCAAAGTGAACCAGAAGTTAGGAAATGGTACAAAAAAGGCTGCCTGGATAACCACTGTTAGGGCACTGCAGTATGTTTCTTAATTATGTGACTCCTTTCTCCCTCCATGCTAAGCCTTCCATTGCACTTACTGGTCAGGTAGTTTGCACGCACTGTAAGAGGAGCTGATCCTTTCATCTTTATTATTCAATGAGAAGTGCAGGCCTCTCAGTGTCCTATTTAAGTCATACTCTAAGCTACATGCTATCAGATTTTTTCTTTTATATATTGCTCAACATTACACTATCTGAATGCTTTAAAAGCTTTATGTTTCTGTTAAGTCTCTGAGCTTTAGCTACATTATTTTACAGCTAGAAAGCAAGCCAGGGTGGTTTTGTTCTCTTGTTGGTTTTGTTTTTAATTTCTGGGCGTTTAGTATGAGATAGATTAGAAGTATTTTTTTTTTGTTTGCGTGTTTGGGGATTTTTTAAATTATTAAGAATTCTCCCAGAAAGGGAGAAGTCAGAAAAGGTGAAATTTAGGTAGGTCTACACCAAAGAGAAGGAAGGGAAGGTATTTTCCCTACAGGATGCCTTTATCGGTTTTCATTCCAAAGTCTGAACAAGGATCTGGCAACAATCATTCTGCTTGTATTTCTGAAGCACTGACCATTATAACATCCCTCTTCAGCACTTAACATCCTTTTACCCATTACCTGTTAGGCTGCACCAGCAGATTCTTTCTCTTTAGCAAAATAAAGGCTCAGTAGATCAAGAAACCTAACATTTCATTAGAACACAACAAAGCAATCCACCCACTAAATGAGCACACTCAATAACTGGTTACCTTTAAAATGAAAAGTCTGAGGGCTCCACTTATGGGGATAAAAAGAGTCCTCTTTTGTTGACACAACATGCAAGCCAAAAGCTTTGCAACAGTGTTTGGATGCATTCACAGCCAGCTGAGGCTTTAAACCAAGGTTACTGCCATCTGTCTGGTTTTGGCAGCATTCAGACTGATGCAAAGAATCCTACGGCACATTTTAAAAGGAACACAGTTAAAGCTTGGTTTTGGTCAATTCCCTTGAACTACCACCATAGCCGATTTGGCTGGCATCAACGCTAGTCAGCACACCTGGATCTATAAGCTCACTGTTACTTTCTTACCACATTTAGAGCATGCAATGAACTATTTTACTATTAATATCAGATTTCATATGTCCAAGTAATTAGACTCATTAAAGTCACAAAAAGTACCAAGTTTTTCTATTGCTGTCACAGTTCAATTTTCTAAAATACGTTATTGTCAAGTCAGAGGTGAAAATTAATACTATCGTTAAGTATTTTTGAGTTGCTATGTAGTTATTAATACCTTCTCATGTTTGTCTTAATTTCTAGAGCCCTGAATGATACAATGCCAAAAGTTAAAATCAATATATAAATCAAATTTGTTTGAAATTTAATTTTCCTACTATATGCTGTGGCTCCCACTCTTTTAAGAAGCATGGAAATACATAAAACGGTCCATATCTCCAGTTTGAAAACACACTAAGCATTCTTCGGCTGCAATAGGTTTAAGATGGTCACAGATCTCAGTACTTTCCAGAATCTGATGTAAGAAACTGCCCAGTATTTGCTCAGACACTTTGATTTTCAAAGCATAATGCCATTCACCATTTTTCAGCAACAATCCAGCAATTATGGAAAGAAGTATAACAGAAAATCAAATTGGGGGTGACAAGAAAACATTGGTTTAGGTCTCATTTAAATATTAAACAAGCAGAATATTATTCCTGGTTAGGAATAATTTTGCAAACCATTTGCTTAAGTGCTTAAGTGACAAGCCCAAATGGAAAGGGATCTTTCATGTAGGTAGCAGGTCATTGTTGCAATGGAAGAATATAATGAAATACAAGAATATATCTTTCATCTCGTCAAATACAAGGCAAAATTTGTAGTGTCGAGGACAAAAGATTTAACAGTAATAGCCCCTGATAAACTGGTAAGGGCACACACTAATATAGTTAGTGTAAGCATGCACATCTGATGAACGAAAAACCACATTTTGAACTCAAGACACATGATGAAGATGTCACTAAAATGCCTTAAGATGCCACTGGATTTATATTACCACAGCTTGCTTTTTCTTTTGCTAAAAAGTATATTGCCATTTTTTTTCCAAGCATCCTCATCCTCTCAAAGGCATCTTGCTGTGTAGTGGTGTAGTGGGGGAAGGTAGGGAAAGGGGAGTAAAAACAATAAATTAGGTGATTCCCTACAAAACAGAGACAATAAATACACCCACCTCTCCCCGACTGTTTTGCACAGCCCCTAAGAAGCAAACCTTCAGTGTCACACCAAGTGTCACTGGCTGAATCTGAAACTCTTAGAAAAAAAAAAACAACAACAAAATCAAAGCTACAGGTAAACAGAGTTATCACTAAATCTGTCATGGGAAAGTCAGATGTAAGAGATATATATCTCCTACAAGCATCACAAGGGATAAAGCGTGCAATTTCTTTGGTGAAAATACTGCTAGATACGTGCACCACAGTTTTACAGTTAGGCCTGTGTGTACCCAGACTCCTCAAGTCCTAGCTCTCTTTCTTTCCACGTAAAGAGCCCCATCCTGTGAAGCACCATCAGCTGCTTCACCACCTGGTGAACGCTCCCAACAAAAACCAAAAGCCCCACCCTGAGTTCAGTCAAATCAGGAAGGTAACTCAACAATGCAATAGAAGTAAGTAGTAAAGAGAGATCAGGTTTATTCAACAGAATATAAACACCCAGGAGGAAACACACAAACAAAATCCCCAAATACATAATAAGCAGAACATAAACAGAACTAGATTAATTGTTGCAAACCCCACAAATTCTAAACTAGGTTCTACATTTACAAGGAACACAGTTTAAGCAAGATAAAAACCTTACGTATTAGAGAGTTCTTTGTCTCAGCCAGCTGCTGCCAGCTTGTCTGTCTGTCTTTCAATTTCTCAGAAAGGTGTGTGTGAAAATCTAAATGAAATAAAACAAATGCAGTTTAGAGATGGCTCTTCTCATCCTTTTACATTCTATTCACCTTTGGTGACACACACTCAATAGAATGTTTCACCTCCTCCCACCCAAAACATTCCTGAATAATAAAAGAAATATTACTCATTATTATCTGGAGAACAAGAATACTTTTAAGTTGTTATCAATGGCATACAAAAAAGAGTATTGAGCAGCAGTAGTACTGATGAAATCTTGCTTTGCAGGAGGTACATACACTGTCAGTTTCATTAACCACAAAAAGGACAGAGTACATTAAAAACTGGCTACAATACATGCATTAGAATTTAACCTGAAGTTCTACACATGCTGAACAGTAGGTATTTAAGATCATACTAGCTTATTTTGAGTGTATTATCTATTAGTCCTATAGCCAAGTAGGTATTATTGCGCTCTTCGAAAGGGTAACTTTTATCATCTAAACCAGACTCTTAAAATACATTTGGAAAATGGACACTTTCAGCTGTAATATATAGATTTCTATATGTTTATCGCAGCAGCATAATGAGTTTTACATTGACCATCAACATAATCAGGCTCAGTCTGCTGCACCTCAACTAACACAAACCAGTGAAGCTGCACTGTAGCAAGAATGCCATTGTTTTCTTTTTTGTCTTATAAAAGCTTATAAAAGCTTCAGGAAGACAAATTTCATTAAGGGTTTTAGTTTTAATCTTGTCCTTTTTTATGTAAAAATGGGACCAAATTCTTCAATACAGTGTTATTCTTCTGTGCTACTCACAATTGAATGAAATCATTTTAGCAGTCTGCAATTTTATAGTTTTTGTTACATCCTATAACATGCAAGCGTTTGACATCTTTATTGCCTCTTATTTTCATATTTTACTTTTCGTAGAAGTTTTGCTTTCATTTCCCTTTCTAGCCAAAAAAACAGAATTAATCCACCAACAGCTCACCTACTGACATTTTGTCACATTAAGCTTTAAGTGTGTGTTACTGTCATCTCGTTTTTACCTGTGTCCACCTTGGGATATTTGATCCTTGCAATTACAAAGGGTATGGATGAGAACAACAAACTGTTCCCACAAGGAAGCTGAGACATCCCTCTTTTTGATGTGAAACCTCTAAACCTAATGGCTAAAACCTAAGTTTCCAAACTATGTTTCTCTAAGAATTAAAGTTTGTTACCAGTGCCCAAAGGAAAGAATAATTTAAATGTTGAGACACTTTCAGAATAGCGTCATCTAAAGGGAAGTCTCCATGGGTATTACCTTCCTTTGACACTCACAGGGAGTTAAACCTAATTGCATTTAGGGTTATCTGTAGCAGCTACACTCAGAATCAAACATCCTCATGAGGACTATTTTTCTAACTAATCTACTTATTAGGCTTTTATTCAGATTTAGTACAGCCTTTTATAAAAAACCATCTCCAAGGGACAATAATGGATTTTGCAATTATCTTACAGTAAAGAATAGACTATGACCTACAATCTTTGGCCTTGCCAAAAATTAGGAAAAAAACCTTTTTGTAAGTAAATCTTTAGATGATTAAGCTAATTTTAGCCCTTATCAGACACCACACTTTATATCTGGGAAAAGTAAATCTTGCGTGTATTTACTATGCTTGCCTCGTACACATTCCTCTAAAACACAACCCCACAATGTCCACAGGTCCATTTGCTCCTACAGTAACCATCAGAGAGAAAGAAATCTGCTTTTGGTATATTATGTTCAAAGATAAATGAGTAGCAGCTTCAAGCTTGCTGCGTCAAGCCCCAGTTTAACTTAAAAATCAACGCTGATACAGCTAATTTTAAATAATAGCATAAATACTAGCAGCCGATTTTGAAAATGGACAAAACAAATACTGCAATTTTAAGCCACTCTCCTGTGAGGCACACAGTATCCAGATTAGCTGCTGGTCTTCTGCACATTATTCAGCAAACTCATTTTCCTTTCCTTTCTCACAGCAGCCTCTTCAGAGACTGACACTGCTTCTGCTCTTCCATTATGTTTTAACATTTATCTAAGTTCCCTCACAGCCCAGGAGTCTCCCACAAGGCCTGGTGCGAGACCAACACAACGTCCTCTTGCTGTCCAAGAAGGCGAGGTTGTAAGTACTCCCTCATTTTCATTCCCTATCACTATGCTGTGTAACCAGCAATCAGGAGGCACCTCTGCACACCCCGCAGTCAGAAGTCCCACTGCTCAGCATCCCACCACAAAGCATTGTTGGCCCCCACAGGACACGTCTATCTCACAGCAAAGAGGCTGCTCACCAACTATCGTGTTATGGTCCCCCTTTCAAGCTGGCCTGAGAATGCTTCGTAACTGTTACCTTTCCAGGAGCAAGTATCACTCCTATCTCTTCTTATCCACTCCCCCCCCTCCCCCAATCCCCAGTTGTTTTCTTTCCCTTCACAGTCCTGCTTGAATGGACGCTTCCAACTATGCACTATGAATTTTCAACCTAATTTAGTCAGGCGTTCTAGAATTCCACTGTTCAGCATTTCCCAGCAGGCACAGATAAAAGCTTGGCTAACAGACAGTATATGCTTAACCCTTTAAGATGAGAGCACGTTGTTTATATATATATATATATTTTTTTTACAGTATGAAAACTTTTTGTATCTTATAAGGCTTGGTTCCTCCACCTATAGTAGTGCCTCTCCATCAATGTTCATCCAGAAGATAACTATGGAACTTTAAATATGACCGGAGCATAAATATCCTCCTAAGCTCTGTTCTCATTTTCCCTCTTCTCCTTATCAAAGCGGTAAACCCCAACTTTTACTAGTAATAAACAATAAAAGGATGGTTTATTTTTTTGAAACTAGCACTTCAGAAGTATTAAAAAATGTCTTACAAATAAATGCCCTGAATTTCTCCAGCTGCTTCCCCTCCCTCCTAATATTCACACAAAAACACCCAGTAATGAACCCTCACTCCATTTCTGTCATATGCACATGGCTGAGGCTTGTCCCAGCTGTGTCTGATGTCCTCCCTATTGAACCCTTTCAGTGAGCAGGGGCTGCTCCTCTGTTAGTACCTTCGTACATTTTCACTGTTATTTGCTCAACATTTATTACTATCATTTATCACTGATTATGTTCCTCGAGGAATAGGACAAACCCCGTAAGAACTGACACACCACTCTCAGGACTGGGCAGGTCAAAGCTCTACATTTTACTCAAATAACCTTTCTTGGTTTTGCATTTTCATCACATTCTACCCTAACATTTTGGACCGAGAATACTGGACAGACATAACAAACATGGTACTCTTAACCTATTTGCAAACAATGGTTTATGAAGAAATTAGAAAAAAGTCAGTAATAAAATCATGTAGGAAAATATGGGAATATGAACTGTTCTGTAATAACAGGAATACACAATTTTTCCTTTCCTACATTGTCTTGAGAGAATTACTCTGCTGTTTTACTCCATTACGCTCTATCGCACATTTTATACCCACTGTTTTGTTTGATCTTTTACAGAAGTCATATTCATTTTTCTTTTCTCTGAAGCACATTCACCAAGCCAGTTAAACTGAAACAGCTTCACCTGAACTGTACACTGCAGGTCTCAAGCAGAAGCATTCTCCAATAAAAAATATTCACAAGACATGTTTTATTTTTGAAAGTACACATTTAAATGTGCACATCCCAAATTCTCATGCAAGAATGACAAACACCACAAAGGAAAATGCTCTTAGTTCAAGTAGGTTTCAAAGAATATTATAGTTCAGTGAACTCAACAGGAAATACATCACTTTCTCTCTCCACAGTCGACCAGAGGTAATGCTACAAAATGGGAGGCAGAAGAATTTTTTAATCACATTTGTATTTGTGACACTCTAAATATTACCAAACATGACCAGCAGTAGATCTACTGCACCAGGACCTGGATTTTCCAATCACATTGTCCATGTCTTTTACAGAGAATCAACTAAGCAATTAGCTACATCAGAGACATCAGTACAGGACTTCAAATGACAGATACCTTAATTTTGCACTTTCATTTCCTCTGAACTAATTAAAGCATTAGGATGTACTAGTACCGTAGCAATCACAGCGACATGCATCACATCAGCACGTAGCAGAGTGCATAGGTGTGTCTATTTCTTTGTGCAGAAATCTGTCTACACTTAAGAACTTACAGTGAACTGAAATTAAATTTCAAATGGATTTATTTCAGTCAAATTATATGGTTTCTATGTGTCTTATTTCCAAAAAGAATTAAATATAGGCCCTCTTAAGTTTAATGGATGTCTATATAGGAATTTCAATCAATTTCACAATACCACTTTAAGATCATGCTACTAAATCACTGGCAACTTGGATGAGTCTTCTCATATGCCCCCGAACAGTCAAGCTCTTACATCTAAAGTGTTTATAATTGCCTCTTAATTCAACATGGTCACTGACTTGTATGAAAAGAAAAACTCAGAGTGAAACTTCATAACATTTTTGCTCTTTTCCACACTGTTTCCTTTTAGTTTTGTTCTGCTTTGCTTTTAAAGTAAGGGTCAATGCAACAACTATTACTTCATGCTCGTAGGAAAGGCTTAGTATCCCAGTACAGGTCAATGATTCAGCTATCGGTCAGTATCTCCATAATTTATAAAACCATAAGACACAATAAACTAAGAAAAGCTTCAATCTCAAGTGGCAACTACAGATATTCTAAAGTTTATTGCTCTTTCTTTAATACCTGTTCCATTCAAGTCTTTCTCTCAACACTTTATTAGTTCAGTCTCTCTGTTTTTGATCAAAAAATTAATTCCTGGAAAGACCAGCATCTGACTTACTAAGTTAGTGGGACAATTTAAAATGCTGAAGTACAAACTAAACAGTTCCTGCTGAAAGTGTAACTTTTTCAACCCTATTTGGAAAAAAAAAAAACCAAACACTTAAAAATCACTAAATCCTGGATCCTTACAGAAATATGGTGACAAAATTCACATGAATCAAGTTATACAACAAAAGTGGTCAAGCACAAA